CGCGCGGAGCTCGAGAAGCCGCGCACCAAACGTCACTCTTACCCAGGGTCACTCCTGCGTGTAGCCGAACGACATGCGACGCCAGAGGCGAGAACACGACGAAAAGCCAGACACCCAACACGTTGTAAGCTTTTCGTTGTCTGCGGCCTTCGGGGTGCCCTCGCCGAGCCCCAAGGACCGTCGAGAAGCGACCCGGAATGAAGAGCACCTGCCCTAAGGGGGCCCGCAGTTCAGAAGCCAAGCGGTCGCTCATCCTCCTCTTTCCTTGTTTCCCAGCTTGCCCGTCGCGGTGGGCGCACCTGGCAGTCTTGCGCTCCAGGTTTCCTCACCCAGTCTGCCAAGTGCGTGGGTCCAGGCCTCCCAAGTGGGGTGTGAGCAGACGGGGTCGGCGGATCGCGCCGCACCGCCGATGCATCGGCGATGCGGCTCGATGTGAAGCCCGATGTTCGCCACGCCAACGGCGCCGATGCATCGCCGACTTCGCCGATGCATCACCGATAAACATCAGCGATGCATCGGTGATGTGGCGCGATCCTCCGACTGCATCCGCTCGGCCCCCATATGGGAGGGCTCCAGTGGGGGCGGGGGCTTGGTTGCAGCGCGGCAGCACGGCCGCGCGCCCTCGTCTCTCTGCCCCCCTGTTTTCCTGTGAGGAGAGGCCGCGTCGACGGCTCTTGCCGCCGTGAGTGCCAGGGAGAACGTCGACGGCGTCGTGCCGGGCGGCGTCTACGACGAGAACGGGTGCGTCCCCACCGCGGGCTTCTCCTGGTGCAACCACACTCAGAGGTCAGGATGCCGGCCACACTTTGATCTGTTCGTGGTCGTCTCTGATGGGGCCTTTGTTCGTGAGTGGGAACTGGAGGATGAGGGGCAGGAGGGGGATGGGGAAGAGGGGGGACGGGGATGAAGGCAGGATGGGGCCTGTCTCTGTCTGTCTTACTGTAGCTTACAATTCTCTCGCTTTCCTTAGCTCGCGTATCCTGGCCTGCTAGTTTGTTCGGCTCACCCAAGCCAAGCTGATCCTAGCTTACCTCAGTTGGCCTGAGTCTTGGCCTGCGTTTGCCCAGACCTGATTGCAATGCTGACGCATGGTTCGGCTGGAGTCTCCGCTGCTGGGTTGCAGCATGATCATCACGTAGCAGCACGAAGGAGCTTGTCCTTATCTGCATCGGATTGAGTGCTCATCCATCTAGGACTTCTGTGCTTGTGTGGTGCCCTCCGTGGTGTTGCACTGATCAGAACGTGGCAGCCTGATAAATCTGCTGTAGGTGCTTCCGCCCCTGGGAGGAGGCGTGCGTGCCAGTGAGCAACAGCAGCGTTTCGAACGGCAGTGGCGCGGCGAACCACTCCTTGCTTGGTGGCGTCTATGACGAGAACGGGTGCGTCCCCACCGCCGGCTACTCTTGGTGCAAGTACACTCAGAGGTCGGGACGCCATCCATACATTGGTCTGCTCGTGGCCGTCTCTGATCGGACCCTCGCGTGGTACATATATATATGTATATATATATAGATCGATAGAGACAGACAGATAGAGACAGACAAATAGACACAGACAGACAGAAAGGCGGACAGACAGAAAGGCAGGCAGGCAGACAGACAGACAGAAAGGCAGGCAGGCAGACAGACACAGACAGACACAGACACAGACACAGACACAGACACAGACACAGACACAGACACAGACACAGACACAGACACAGACACAGACACAGACACAGACACAGACACAGCACAGCACAGCACAGCACAGCACAGCACAGACACAGACACAGACACAGACACAGACACAGACACAGACACAGACACAGACACAGACACAGACACAGACACAGACACAGACACAGACACAGACACACACAGACACAGGTACAGACACAGACAGAGACAGAGACAGAGACAGAGACAGACATACAGACAGACAGATACTTAGACAGGCAGGCAGGCAGGCAGACAGACAGACACACACACACATATATTTACATATATATATATATATACACACATTTATAGGTATATATGTATATGTGCATGCACACCTTGCTATATGTATATATAGAGGGAAAGAGAGAGAGAGAGAGAGAGAGAGAGACATACAAAAGAGAGCGCGAGCGGGATGCGGAGGGGGCGAAGGAAGATGAGGAGGATGAGGAAGAGAGGGATGAGGATGATGAGGAGGAGGAGGAGGAGCAAGATGATGAGGACGAGGAGGAAGTGGCGCAGGATTGGGAGTAGGCGGAGGGGAATTAGAAGGAGGGTGGTGGGCGAGGAAGGGGAGGGTGGAGGGGGAGGGGGGTGGGGTGGAGCCTGTCTTGGTCTATTCAACGATTGCTGAAGGAGTAGTCTTGATTTCCCTAGCTCGCGTCTGCCCAGGCTGTTACGTCATTGCTGCATTTCTCGGCTTGTTCAAGCTTCTTATAGGGAAGTTACCTCGGCCTGCCACGCTTACTCGAGATGAGGCTTGGTCCATTCCGCTGGCCCCCCGATTGTGGTAAACTTCTGCGGCTCCTCGTATGCCCAATGGCCCATCCCCAAAACGAAGCCGAGGCGAACTGTCAGGAGGAGAGACGTCAATAATCATGTCGTGAAGAAGGCCAGCCATGTTCAAGTTCAAGACCTCTACGACCCTCTTGGAGTCATCTTGGAGGTCTTCTGGGGCACGGTTGGGAGCGTTTGAGGCCCTCTCTGCTCTTGTTGGGCTCTCTTGGTGGCTCTTGGGGCTCTCTTGAAGCCATCCTGCAGGTCATCGATCAAACAGGGTTTTGATGAAATTAGCGTCCCCCGCTTGGCGCCCGAAGCTTTTCTCCTGAGCCCTTTTGTGCGCTCTTGGGGCAGTCTGGAGGGCCTTCGGGGATGTCTTGGGGCGCTCCTGAGCCTCCCCTGGGGCTGTTGTGGCAGATCCATCTCGAGGCCCCAGTATCACATCGGAAGCGAGAAGATGAGAATATGATGACGATGACGATGACGATGACGTCATCGTCATCGTCATCGTCATCGTCACCGTCACCGTCATCGTCATCGTCATCGAAAATTTTGATGTGCGACGCATTTTGGTCTCCTGGGGCTGCTCACCCCTGGGAGGCTCCGTGGCCTGTCTGAGAGCTGCCCCGGGGCCTCCCGGCCGTACCGGAGCGCCCTTCGGTCGAGCCGTCCTCGAGGGCGTCCTTCTGGGCACCCACCCCGGAGAGGCGTCCGAGCGGGGTCTGGAAGGCTCGGAGGGCCCAGGCGAGGTGCCTGGTGCAGCTCCTCGCCCCGGGCCTCCCTCCTCGTCGGACCCCTGCGGGGGGGGGGGGGAAGGGGGAAGGGGGCAGGGCTCGTGCTCGAATCCCCCGCTTCGATGCGACGTCGCTGGATTCCGATCCCGATCCGCTTCGACCTGGGCTGCCGATCTGGGAGCCGATTCCTCGGTAGAGGCCTCCTTGCCTGCCGATGTCTACCGATTCGACTTTTCCCTGCTCGGCTGCCGATCCGACTTCTCGATTCGATTCTGGGCTCTCCTGCCTCGCACGCCTTCTCACCCCCGGCATGCGGGGGTCGGTGGATTGAGCTCCCGCGGCCTAGCTTGCCTTGACTACTGGCTCACCGTAAGCGGCCTGCACCTCGGTCTCCGCTAGTGTGGCCAGCCTTATACTGCCAAACTGCTGTTGCGCAGCCTGACAGGAGTTGCCCCTACGGCGTTGTGTGGTGAAGTCCCTGTGCAACGTGACAGAGCTTGCCCTCGTCTGCATCGGACTGCTTGCTTCTGCATGTTGTAGCCTTGCCAGTTGTCGAGTGGCCTCTGCAGGTGCTTCCGCCCCTGGGAGGAGGCGTGTGCGCCGGTGAGCAACAGCAGCGTTTCGAACAGCAGTGGGGCGGCGAACCACTCCCTGCTGGGCGGCGTCTACGACGAGAACGGGTGCGTCCCCACTGCCGGCTACTCCTGGTGCAACCACACTCAGAGGCCGCGGCGCCAGCCGCTTTTTGATCGGCTCTGGGCGTGTTTTATCCGACCCTCGCGAGAGAGATAGGGAGAGATATAGAGAGAGAGAGAGAGCGGGATGAGGACCAGGAGGAGGAGGATGAGGAGGAGGAGGAGGAGGAAGATGAGGAAGATGAGGACCAAGGAGGAGGAGGAGGAAGATGAGGAAGAGGAGGAGTATGAGTAGGAGGAGGTGCTGGACTGGGAGGAGGCGGAGGGGAATAGAGAAACGGAGGGTGGTTGGGGAAAAAGTGCACGGTGAGGAGGGGGAGGGGAGAGGGGTGGTATGGAGCCTGTCTTGGCCTTTTGAACCCTGGCTGAAAGAGTTCCTTAGCTCGCGTTTGCCCAGACTGTTACGTCGTCACTGCTCGGCTTGTCCAAGTCTCCTATAGGAAGTACCCTGGCCTGCCTAACTTGTTGAAGAGGCTTAGTCCATCTCGCTGACGTAATATGTTGACCCTCATCTGCATCGGATGGAGTGCTCATCCACTGGTACGTTTGCGCCTGCGTGGGGCCCTCCGTGGTATTGCGCTGGAAGAAGCACCACGTGGCAGTCTGATAACATTGCCGCAGGTGCTTCCGCCCCTGGGAGGAGGCGTGCGTGCCAGTGAACAACAGCAGCGCCTCGAACGGCAGTGAAGCGGCGAACCACTCCCTGCTGGGCGGCGTCTACGACGAGAACGGGTGCGTCCCCACCGCTGGCTACTCCTGGTGCAACCACACTCAGAGGCCTGGGCGCCAGCCGTTTTTTTTCTGCTCTTGGTTGTCTCTGATCGGACCCTCGCGTGATATACACATATACATGTGAGCGGAAACAGAGAGAGAGAGAGAGAGAGAGAGAGGGAGAGGGAGAGAGAGAGAGAAGGAGAGAGAAAGAGAGAGAGGAATACAGGAAAAGGGAGATAGAGATAGAGAGAGAGAGAGAGAGAGAGAGAGAGAAAGAAAGAAAGAGAGCGGGATGAGGATCAGGAGGAGGACCAGGAGGAGGAGGAGGAGGAAGATGAGGAAGAGGAGGAGGAGAAGGAGTATGAGTAGGAGGAGGTGCTGGACTGGGAGGAGGCGGAGGGGAATAGAGAAACGGAGGGTGGTCGGGGAAAAAGTGCACGGTGAGGAGGGGGAGGGGAGGGGGGTGGTATGGAGCCTGTCTTGGCCTGTTGAACCCTGGCTGAACGAGTTCCTTAGCTCGCGTCTGCCCAGGCTGTTACATCGTCACTGCTCGGCTTGTCCAAGTCTCTTATGGGAGTACCTTGCCCTGTCTAACTTGTTGAAGAGGCTTAGTCCGTTCCGCTGATGTAGAATGTTGCCCTCATCTACATCGGATGGAGTGCTCATCCATTTGGTACGTTTGCGCGTGCGTGGGGCCCTCCGTAGTATTGCGCTGGAAGAAGCACAACGTGGCAATCTGATAACATTGCCGCAGGTGCTTCCGCCCCTGGGAGGAGGCGTGCGTGCCGGTGAACAACAGCAGCGCCTCGAACGGCAGTGGCGCGGCGAACCACTCCCTGCTGGGCGGCGTCTACGACGAGAACGGGTGCGTCCCCACCGCTGGCTACTCCTGGTGCAACCACACTCAGAGGCCTGGGCGCCAGCCGTTTTTTTCTGCTCTTGGCTGTCTCTGGTCGGACCCTCGCATGACACACACATATACATGTGAGAGGAAAGAGGGAGAAAGAGAGAGAGAGAGAGAGTGAGAGAGAGAGAGAGAGAGAGAGAGAGGGAGAGGAAGAGAGAGAAAGAGAGAAAGAGAGAGAGAGAGAGAGAGCGGGAGGAGGAGGAGGAGGAGGAGGAGGAGGAGGAGGAGGAGGGAGGAGGGGGGAGGAGGAGGAGGAGGAAGGAGGAGGAGGAGGAGGAGGAGGAGGATGATGAGGAGGAGGAGGAGGAGGACGAGGAGGAGGAGTAGGAGGAGGAGGAGGAGTATGAGTAGGAGGAGGTGCAGGATGGGGAGGAGGCGGAGGGGAATAAAGAAACGGAGGGTGGTCGGGGAAAAAGTGCACGGTGAGGAGGGGGAGGGGAGGGGGGTGGTATGGAGCCTGTCTTGGCCTGTTGAACCCTGGCTGAAAGAGTTCCTTAGCTCGCGTCTGCCCAGGCTGTTACATCGTCACTGCTCGGCTTGTCCGAGTTACTTCTAGGGAGTACCTTGCCCTGTCTAACTTGTCGAAGAGGCTTAGTCCATTCCGCTGATGTGGAATGTTGCCCTCATCTGCATCGGATGGAGTGCTCATCCATTTGGTACGTTTGCGCGTGCGTGGGGCCCTCCGTGGTATTGCGCTGGAAAAACACCACGTGGCAGTCTGATAACATTGCCGCAGGTGCTTCCGCCCCTGGGAGGAGGCGTGCGTGCCGGTGAACAACAGCAGCGCCTCGAACGGCAGTGGCGCGGCGAACCACTCCCTGCTGGGCGGCGTCTACGACGAGAACGGGTGCGTCCCCACCGCTGGCTACTCCTGGTGCAACCACACTCAGAGGCCTGGGCGCCAGCCGTTTTTTTCTGCTCTTGGCTGTCTCTGGTCGGACCCTCGCATGACACACACATATACATGTGAGCGGAAAGAGGGAGAAAGAGAGAGAGAGAGAGAGAGAGTGAGAGAGAGAGAGAGAGAGAGGGAGAGGAAGAGAGAGAAAGAGAGAAAGAGAGAGAGAGAGGAGAGAGAGCGGGAGGAGGAGGAGGAGGAGGAGGAGGAGGAGGAGAGGAGGAGGGAGGAGGAGGGGAAGGAGGAGGAGGAGGAGGAGGAGGAGGAGGAGGATGATGAGAGGAGGAGGAGAGGAGGAGGAGGAGGAGGAGGAGGAGGAGGAGGAGGAGGAGGGGGAGGAAGGGGAGGAGGAGGAGGAGGAGGAGGAGGAGGAGGGGAAGGAGGAGGAGGTGGCGCAGAATTGGAATGATGTGAATTTCCGAGGCTCCACAAGCACAGCCGAGACGAGCAGTCAGGACCAGGGCCATCGTTCATCATACGGTGAACCAGAAGGGCCGAGCATGTTCAGCTTGAGATCCTTGGGATCCTCTTGGAGTCATCTTGGAGGTCTCTTGGGGACGTTTGACAGGCTTGGATGCCTTTTTTTTGTTGGGCCCTCCTGGGGGCCCAGGGGAACCTCTTGAAGCCATGATGGAGGTAATCGATCCCAAAAGGGTGTGTTTACATTAGGGTCCCCCGCTTGCAGCCCGAAGATTTGCCTCTTGGGGCGGTCCGCGTGGCCTTCGGGGAGATCTTGGAGCACTTCTGGGCCCCTCTTGGGGCCAGAATGGCAGGTCTTGGAAACATCTTGAGGCCCCAGTATCCCCGTCGGACGCGAAATGGTGAGAAGGCACAAGTCATTACAGCACAACTATCTTGGCCTCTGGGGATCTGCTTTCGAGGCTCCGTAGCCAGTTGGAGCTGTCTTTGGGCCTTCTGGCCGTGGCGGAGCCCTTCCGAAGCCGCCTTCGAATGCGTCTTCAGCACCTCGAAGGCGTCCGAGAACGGATTTGGAGGCTCAGAGGGCCCAGGAGAGGTGTCGGGTAGCCCGTCGCCCCGCGCCCCCCCCCCCGCCTGCCCCCTCCCCCCTCGAACGGCGGTTGGACCCCCAGGGTGGGGGGACAGGCGGAGAGCGGCGGTAACGAAAGGGGGGGGGATAGTCATAGGGGGAGACGCATCGACCCCTCAATCGCCCATTAATCGCCCATAGGGGCCCGCGGCTTCTTCACACGTAAAAGTACGTGCGCGGAGGGGATGAACAACATGATAGCCCCAACCCGCCCAGGAAGGTGCGGTTTCGCTGTCGGGGGCCTGTCGCCGATCTCTTGGCGATGTATCGTCGATTCCAGGTCGATGCGTCCCCCCTCCCCTTTGCCAGTCCCCCCCATCGTTGCCCCTTAGGAGAGGGACAGCCAATCATCTCGCACGCCTTCTCACTCCTGGCAGGTCGGCGGGTGTAGCTCGCTCGGCCCAGCTCTGTTTTGATTACTAGCTTATCAGACGTGGCCTACGTCTTGGTCTCCGCTAATGTGGCAAGCCTTGTCAAGCTAAACTATTGCTGCGTAGCTTGGTAGGAGCTGCCCCTACGGCATTGTTGTGAAGTCCTTGTGCAATGTGACTGAGCTTGCCCTCATCCGCATCGGACTGACTGCCTCTGTATGTTGCAGCCTTGCGCGTCGCGAGCCTCCTGCTCTCCGTTCCGCTGTTGAATCGCCTCTGCAGGTGCTTCCGCCCCTGGGAGGAGGCGTGCGCGCCGGTGAACAACAGCAGCGCCTCGAACGGCAGTGGGGCGGCGAACCACTCCCTGCTGGGCGGCGTCTACGACGAGAACGGGTGCGTCCCCACCGCTGGCTACTCCTGGTGCAACTACACTCAGAGGCCTGGGCGCCAGCCGCTTTTTTCTGCTCTTGGCTGTCTCTGATCGGACCTTCGCCGAGTGATACACATATACATGTGTGCGGAAAGAGAGAGAGAGAGAGAGAGAGAGAGAGAGAGGAAGAGAGAGAGAGAGAGAGAGGAAGAGAGAAAGAGAGAGAGAGAGAGAACGATAGAGAGATCGAGAGAGAGAGAGAGAAAGGGAGAGACAGAGAGAGAGAGAGAGAGAGCGGGAGGAGGAGGAGGAGGAGGAGGAGGAGGAGGAGGAGGAGGAGGAGGAGGAGGAGGAGGAGGAGGAGGAGAGGAGGAGGAGGAGGAGGAGGAGGAGGAGGAGGAGAGGAGGAGGAGGAGGAGGAGGAGGAGGAGGAGGAGGAGGAGGAGGAGGAGGAGGAGGAGGAGGAGGAGGAGGAGGAGGAGGAGGAGGAGGAGGAGGAGGAGGAGGAGGAGGATGAGGAGGAGGCGGAGGAGGAGGAGGAGGAGGAGGAGGAGGAGGAGGAGGAGGAGGAGGAGGAGGAAGGGGAGGAGGAGGAGGATGAGGAGGTGGCGCAGAATTGGAAGGTGGTGAAATTCCGAGGCTCCACAAGCACAGCCGAGACGAGCATTCAGGACCAGGGCCATCATTCATCATACGGTGAACCAGAAGGGCCGAGCATGTTCAGCTTGAGATCCTTGGGATCCTCTTGGAGTCATCTTGGAGGTCTCTTGGGGACGTTTGACAGGCTTGGATGCCTTTTTGTTGTTGGGCCCTCCTGGGGGCCAAGACCTTTTTTTTAACCGTTCCCCCCCTGCGCTCCTCGGGCGCGCGCCCGGACGGCCGAGGGGCCAGACGGAGCCGAAGCGGAGTTAGGAGGACGGGGGTGAAGGAGAAAGGAGGGGAGTCGACAGCAGCTGGATGCAATTACAACGACTAACGGAGAGTACCTGTAGTTACCATGAGCCGTAAGGGGAGGTGTAGTTGGAGACATAGTGTATGCAGTAGTAGAAACTCGCATCGGATTTTGGCGGTAGTTGTATCCTTACGAGTTGTGGTTGGGCTGTATCACGCTTACGTTTTTTGTGATTTTTTTTTTTTTTTTTTTTTTTTTTTTTTTTTTTTTTTTTTTTTTTTTTTTTTTTTTTTTTTTTTTTTTTTTTTTTTTTTTTTTTTTTTTATCTCTCTCTCTCTCTATGGAGGTAACTTTTTAGTATAGATGCATATATATATATATATATATATATATATATATAGATTCAGATGTATGAAAGAGCGTGTTCTACCGCTGCTGGCGGAAAACCGGGGGGGGTCACTACCGGTTCGAAACCCCCCTCCCCCCCCCCCCCTCCTCCCTCCGGAAAACCGGGGGGGGTCACTACCGTTCGAACCCCTCCCCCCCCCCCCCCCCCCCCTGCTCATCATGAAAGGGGGGGGGGGTCACTACCGGTTCGAACCCCTCCCCCCCCCCCCCCCCCTCCGGATCCTGAAACCGGGGGGTCACTACGTTCGAACCCCCCCCTCGAAAACCGAGTGGGGTGCGGACAGTGGTGGGGACGGTGTTGGTGGGGACAGTGGTGAGGGGATAGCGGGACAGTGGTGGGGACAGTGGGACAGTGGGACAGTGGTGGGGACGGTAGTGGTGGGGACAGTGGTGGGGACAATGGTGGGAACAGGGGGGGACAGTGGACAGTGGTGGTGACGGTGGTGGTGGGGACAGTGGTGTGGGGACAATGGGAATGAGGTGGAAACAGTGGGACAGTGGAGGGTACAATGGTGGTGGGGACATTGGTGAAGGCGGTGGCGAGGACGGCGGTGGGACAATGGGACAGAGGTACAGTGGGGACAGTGGTGGGGACAGTGGGGACAGTGGTGGGAACAGTGGGACAGCTCAGTGGGACAGCGGAGGAGTCAGTGGGACAGTGGGGACAGTGGGATAGTCGGGCAGTGGTTGGGGCCGTGGAGACAGTGGGGAGAGTGGAACCGTGGTGGGAACAGTTCTGGGGACAGCGGGGACAGTGCGACAGTGGTGGGGCCACTGGTGGGGACAGTAGGGGCGGTGGTGGAACCAGTGGGGACAGCGGTGGTGAGGACAGTGGTGCTGGGAACACCAGTGGGGGATGTGATGCGGACGGTGGTGGGGACCGGGAGTCGTTTGCTGGCGGTGAGTAGGGGGGGGGGGGGGGGGTTCGAACCGGTAGTGACCCCCCGGCTTTTCCGGATCCGGAGGAGGGGGGGGGGGGGGGAGGGGTCGAACGGTAGTGACCCCCCCCCGGTTTTCGAGCGGGAGGGGGGGGGGGGGGGGAGGGGTTAGGGGAGGGGGGGGGTTTTGCCGGGGCAGGAGGGGGGGGGGGTGGGGGGGGGGGAGAGGGGTTCAGCAGGGGGGGGGGATTTTCGGAGGGAGGGGGCGACCCCCGGGTTCGGGAGGAAAAGGTTGGCAATTTTCCACAGTAAAGCGGCGGTGGATCACGCTCTCTCATATGTATGTATGTATGTATGCATGTGCATGTATGTATGCTATGTATGTATGTATGTAGTATGTATGTGTATGTATGTAATGTATGTTGTATGTATGTATGTATGTATTTATGCATCATGCATGCATGCATGCATGCATGTATGTATGTATGTATGTATGCATGCATGCATGTATGTATGTATGTATGTATGTATGTATGTATGTATGTATGTATGTATGTATGTATGTATATATGTATATATGTATGTATGTATGTATGTATGTATGTATGTATGTATGTATGTATGTATATATGTATATATGTGTGTATTTATGTATGTACGTATGTATGCCTGTATGTATGTATGTATGTATGTATGTATGTATGTATGTATGTATGTATGTATGTATGTATGTATGTATGTATGTATGTTTGTATGAATGTATATATATATATATATATATGTATATACATATCTATATGTATATACATTTGCTCAATCGAGTCGGACACATTTTTAATCGTACCCCCGATTTTGTTATTCATCGTCATCTCGCATCAAGCAGCGATGGAGGCAGCCGGCAGTGGCTCGCAGGGCTCGTGGCCACCAGTGGTGGCATCCAGCTCCTGCGGTGCTCGCGGGTCGTGGGGCCGAGCGTGGGCCGGCGGCGGGGCCCCGGGGGGGGGGAGGGGGGGGGAAGCGAGAGGGCGCGGGCCTTCCCAGAAGGCTCGGAAGCCCACTTGCTTTCTGAGATCGGTATCGCTTAAGCGATCCCCATCCCCATCTCCATCCCCGTCCAGACCCCCACCGTCTCAGCACCCCATGTGGGCATGTGCCCCTCGAGGCCCGAAGGAAGCGGCCCGTATCCCCATCTGCGGGGGGGGAGTCGGCCCGTGGGGCACAGGCCTCGCCCATGGGGATGGGGGGTCGGTTGAACGCTGCTCCGGCGAAGTTCTCCAAGCCTTCCCCGAAGGCACAGGACAGCTTCTCAGAGGGCGCGGGGGCTTCCGAGAAGTCCCGTCGCCTTCTGAGAAGGCCTTCTCCCTCTCGCTTCCCCCCCCCAGGAGGAGGAGGAGGAGGAGGAGGAGGAGGAGGAGGAGGAGGAGGAGGAGGTGGAGGAGGAGGAGGAGGAGGAGGAGGAGGAGGAGGAGGAGGAGGAGGCCTTTTCCTTCTCGCTTCGCCCCCTCGCTCGCCGCCGATCCGGGCCCAGAGCCGGCCCGCAGCGCTTGCGGCCACCGGGGCGAGTGGTGCCGGGCAGGCGGGTGGCGGCAGTTGGCGTTGGCGGCAGCCAGGGTTGTTGCAGGGCTGGAACTAAACGGTGTTTTTGGTGATTTCGTGGGCCGTTTTCGTTTCGACTTCGTTTTGCGGCAAAGGCGGATTCGAGACAAAAGCGAGGGAAAACGAAAACAAAACGAAAACGAAAAACACCGTTTAGGTTCAGCCCTGGGTTGTTGTGGCTATGCAGGGTCAAGCGCGGTAGCCAGCCCTGGCGGCGACCAGGGTCGGCGGGGCTAGGCAGGGTCTACAGTAGGGGATTGTGGGTTTTACGGTCGTAGTCGTAGCAGTGTGGTCGCGCCAAACGTAGTAGTTTGCTCCCATCTGCATCGGACCGCATGCTTATCCACTGGATAGCCTCGATAGTGTGCTACTTTATTCAAGTGGCTTCAGCCATTCCGCCGACCCCCACAAGGAGTGAGTATTTGAGAGGATCGTGGAAGTTATCTTGGGTCAGGAGCCTCCTGGATGAATCTGAGGGTCTCTTGTGATGCCAATCTGGGGCTTCATAC